GTATGAACAACGCCGATTTCTTCGTATAAAGCACAATAGATATGATGATTAAGCCCTTATCCTCTAATAGTAAAATGGGTCTTTGCGTACCACCTTTTTATGTTACACAAGCACCATAATCGTAAGCTTTATGTAATCAATTGATCGCATCCTGTATGTCAGTGGATAGTGTTGGTCAATTAAAGAAATCAGTATTCGTTTCTGTGTCAGACTATCTCGTTCCCGCAGCATGCCAATACATGGGCGTATCCCCCAAATTGTACCGCTACTGAAGAGGCGCCCACATATTACATAAAGGCTTATAGTTCACTATTTTCAAGTATTTCTGGCTGCTATGCACTCTTTCTCACAAACAGATTATGAATCCTCTGTCACTGAATTCATCACTATCCGAAACAAAATCAAAATGCACTAACAAATAATAAAAATAAATCTCGCTTGATTACAGCAACTAGAACAAAATATAAAGCACGAAGAAAGCAAAATATTTAAATTTGTCAAAATGAATGAGAAAAAATGTAGCAAAACATCAAATATATGATCAGGTCTCTACAATTCGTAGCTAGGATTATTTAAATAACATAGAATTGCAAAAGCTGTCATAAACAATAGAAACGTTTCTAAGAAAACATGACTAGCCTCATCTATTTGCGTCATTGAAAAAGGCAAGAGGAAAGCGTAGCACGCATAAGCTCCATCCTAAGTAGGCCAGAAAAACAAAATGTGTGACTTGCTACTTCTGTCGATTAAATACAATTTAGAATGACACATTTCGTACCCCCTTTCCATAAGTATTTTAACTACATTTTTGTTAAACGTTTCTCTTTGTTCTTACTTTACGATACTAAATGGTGGATACTCGGAAAATTATTTTGTAGCCTAACTTTTACAAATCTTGTGCCAAACGTCGACATAGCGATGGCTAGTTCTCGGCAGGTAGCAAGGCTGATAGAATCCATCGAAAATTTAGAAACTTCTCTCTCACCCCAAGTTAAGATCCACTACTGTAGTGGTATGTTATGATATTTATGGTTCAAAATTAATAAATTGTTACAGATTAGTTTACTGAGGACGTAGGCGGATGAAAGAGACTTTTTTAAGGTATTTAATTTTTACAAAGTGCCTTTAATAGCTCGTTAAGCGCTTATGTTGACCTAGCTCTATTCCTTTTAAAAGCACTTTGACGTAAGTTCTTGTATACTTGCTTGTATTTTGTAATTTTAATGTTAACTGAGCAAAAAACTGTAGAGAAATAATAAACGTAATATCACAGTCAGCGTAAGATAAAAATTTTAGAAGAAATCTAAATTTGAATTTTAGAATTATGCCGTAACTCAATTACTTAACTTCCCCCCCTCTCGATCTCTAAGCTTTACGTACAAGAAATATCTCACAACCTTGAACTCTCAGTTCTCTGAAATAAATATATATGATTCTGCTTATCGAGGAATAGGTGACAGTAAAAAAATAACTGCCAATATTCAATAAATAATGTAAAAAAAGCTTAAAATAGATTGTTTGAGCCCCAAAATTTGAAATAATTTTTTGTAACATTCCCAAAGCTACGTTGCCAACTATAATTAGATTCATGTATTTTCTACTTTCTATTGAAATAATTTAGCAGTTACTTTTTATAACATCATGTACTTCTAAATCAGCAAAAGCCTTTTCAGTTTTTTATGTATTGTTTTAATTCGATATTGTATACCTAAAAGTTAGGTTACTTGAATATAGCAAAGCACACGAGAACAATTTACCTAAGGGCCTGGATGTCTTAGTGAAAGACTTTCTAATTGAAATAAACCGGAAAAAAGACTTTATAATGGCCCTGCATATAATGAAAACTACGAAAACAACAACCAGCTAACCTAATCGTTGGGGATTTAACCTGAGTCAAACTATCAATGTTTAGCCCTCTTAACTATTCGGCCATTGGTGGTGTTCAAAAATTAAGGACACTGGTTTCTATAAATTAAGGAATAATCACAAAAATAGCGATAACTCGTTCAAAAATAAGCCAATCCGTACAAAATTTGAATAGGTTATCAAATAAGAATTGCTAAGTAAAACTAAAGTATGCAATCAGTGGCGCTTCAATCGAAATACATCACCTGCGAGGAGGATAAAAGTGCATGTTTTAGAGCAATCCTGCACTACGTGATGCTGAAATCAGAAATCTGGGATAGCCAGTTTCTAACAATGATTTCCAGGCATCATTTGCCTGGAGAACTGGAATGGAGAGCTATTGGGAAAGAAAGGCAGGACAAGAAGTGGTTAATGTGAATGCTTCTGTGGTTCGTAGACTTTGGCAACAATTTCTAACCACGGATTCAAAATCCAGAAAGCTCAGTCAAGGACGGCCAACCGCTACGATGAGCGCTGATAACCGATATTTGTTTTCATGTGCGCGAAGGACTAGAACCTCAGCTCCGACTCGATCCTCCCTTAGCCAGTAGAAGGTTGATGTCAACGTCGACTGAGCGTAGAAGGCTTCACGAAAGAGATGTGTACGCGAGGCGACTTTTCATTCGCGTGCCGCTCATGTCACGTCATTGAAGGGAACGTTTGAGGTGGCGACGTCAACGTGTCCACTGGACAGCTGATGAATAGAGGGCCTTTCTCTTTACGAATGAGTCCAGGTTTAGCCTCCGAAGCGATAGTAGGTGTTATTTGATTTGAAGAGAACCTAGAACCCGTTATCATCTATCAAATATCCGTGAAAGAGATGCATATGGAGAAGGCAGTGTCTGTGTTGAGGTGGTATGATTCTGGGCGGAAGCAGAGCCCTTCATACCTGAGCATTCCACGTGGAACGTCACGTGGAATGCTCAGATCTATAGAGTCATTCTTGATAATTATGCGCGCCCTTATGCCGAGGCAATAGGTGATAATTTCCTGCTACAGAATTTTACGCACAATGATTATCTTCAGCAGCAAACTATTCACCGCATGCAATGGTGAGCTGCGTCACCGAACTTTAATCCTATCCCACCATATTTGAGATGAAGATGTATAGATGTTCTCAATCCTTCACTTCAGACTCTTACCACGCCTGCAACTGTTTTGCAAAAAGCAATGGCTCTCACTTTCCTACGGAACTGATAGACTACATAAATGACAACATCGCACATCTCCCTGAAATAGTTTGTACTGCTTCTAGGGGATATCATATTCCATACTGAAGGTAATTTTCCTTTACCAAGCTAACACATCCGATTTGTTCATTTATACTGTAGAGTTCCTCACTTTGTAATTCTAAGTTAATGTTAGAAGTGAAGAATCTAAGAACTGATAAGCGAATAATCGCTTAAGTTCGGTGACAAGAAACAACAAGACAGAAAGCTAACTAACCCTTTATTATTCCAATAAGATTTAACAAAACTCCGCCTGGGAGTGTACACACAAAGCCCGCACTTGCGACTTGAACTTAAAAGACTAAGAATTAAACTAAAACTATGATTAACTAAAGAAGTATAGCCGATGCTATCAAGGTTCAAATCGAGTTGGCCCCTTAACTTAATTGACTACGAAGCTTAGCAAGGGCCTGAGTACGGCCGAGCGTAATAACAGCTTTGAGAGAGAGTGGCCAAAAAGGCAAACGCGCGTAAATCAGAAACTCTGATTTTCTCTGCCTCTGTAAGTAACTTCGTGGTTTAAATACCGCTCCTCCTCATTAAATATTCAGCAAGATTCCAAAACTACGTTCTGTCCAGAAGTAATAAGTTGAAGTTAAGAATTTGACAGGAAAGGAACTTAAAATTTAACTGTTAATAAAATTAACATAATCCTTGCATAACAAATGCTGATTTCTATCCCATTATAATTGTCTGGTTATTCCTTTTCGTGTTATTTTATACCTTACTATGTGTTGTATACTATGGGTCAGTTTCATTAAATTCTAACATGTAACTTTTTGACCAATTGTCCTTTTTTTTTTATTTTTCTTAATTAATGATAGCCAGTGTAGAAAAGTTTTACTTGCGTTTGAACACTTCAAGTGCTTTTGTCGGTACATTTATAAAGTAACAAACATTTCTACATTAACTGAAGTATTATCTATGTATAAGCTTAAAATTTAAACAAGCACCAGTAGTTATTACAGCTGAAATCTGTAACCAGTTTAAATTTTAAACACGCTACAACAGTTATTATATAGTGAAAGCTGTAATTTGTAATAAATCATCGAAATATTTAGGTATCAAATGAAACCTGGCCTTTCCTCTGAGAATTTGGCTGAAAATTATTAAAATTCTGAATAAATTGTGAAGTAGTTGACCCTAAAGTGCTAAACGTCTCTGTACTTGGTCCCAAAGTAATAATTATGTGCTTACTCGAAAACACTAGTTTCGATGAAATTAAAATACTCAAACCTTTTAATAAAACTTCAGAATTTTAGTATCCTTGAGTGTATGAACTCCCTAAAAGTTAAAATTAGCCTCGCAGTGGATTATTAGATATCGTGATATGTTCCAACTTGGTAGAAACTTCATGTTCACAAATGAATTTATCGCTTCTCTTCTTAATAGATAACACAAATTTTTATGCCATCAACAGTTTTCAGTATGGGCAAGTAATAAGAATTATTTGCTTTAACGGGGGGAAAAAAGTTTTCTCATAAATCAGTGGTCTTTGAAGCTAGACTACGATGAATGTCCACATTATTCTGACCACCATGGATAAGGGTTAAATTTATCAAATTATTGTCAATTTACAGAAAAATAAAAAATTGAACTTATTCTGAGAGTATTCTAAAAGTGAACTTATTCTGAGAGCATCCTGAAAGTGAACTTATTCTGAGAGTTATTACTAAAATGGTAAAATTCTTATATTTGTTTTAAAAAATTTCCTTTTTCTAATAACTCTAAGACTCAAGGATTTGTTATTCGCATAAATTTTTAATGCTTCCGCGGTGAATAAAAGCAAAACTAAATTCAAACCTCTCGCGAAGAAATGAATTCCTTACTTTCCACTACAGCGCATTTTAATGTTCATTTTTACAGCATATGGAGACGCTGGTTGCCAGTGCGGATGCTTGCAAAAAGAGGAGACAACTTCGGAAGCCGAAATGCGCCCGCTGCAGAAATCACGGAGTTGTATCGTGTTTGAAAGGACACAAAAAATTCTGCCATTGGAGAGAATGCGTGTGCAGAAGTTGTGTTTTAGTTGCAGAAAGGCAGAAAATTATGGCTCTTCAGGTTGCACTTCGAAGGTAGGTGAAGATAAAATCTGTCAAAAAGTTACTTTAAAAAAAAATAATAATAATAATCACATGTGTTAGCTGAGTTTTGAGACTTCTGAAAACAAAACCTGATAAAATTTTAAATAATTCACAAATGAAAATAATCTGTCCAATTTTTCTATGCTCATATTTAAATACGAAAAAATTAATAAAAAAATATTACATCGACTTTTAGACAAATAAAAGGCAGGAAAAGCAGGAACAAAATACAAAAGCAGCAGGAATACAAAAGCAGGAACTTCATTGAGACACATCGTAGGTAGAAAAGTTAATAAATATGCATGATATAACATTTAAAATCATGTACGCTAAATTATGCTTTATACATAACCTGGCACACTACATTATATCTTGCTCATGTTTTAAGGAATCTTGTACAAATTCATTATGGCTTATACATTTTCCAGAAAAAAGTAAGAATTTGTAATAGAAAATTGAGCATAAAAGGAAAAATTCAGATTTCAAACGTAATTGTTAAAAATAACTTTCCATTAATTCCCTTTCAATTATTTTTATTTAGCTATCTTAATACGCAATAATATCTGCCGCTTTATTCTCGTTTTAAAAAACGGACTATTTTTCCTAATTTCCTCAGAATTACCCCATTGAAACTTCTGAATATCTTTTTCAAAACAAAGAAAAAATTATGATCTACTTTCTGCGAATACCATAATTTTATAGTGCAATTTTGCATTACTTTCTTGTCATAAAAATGGATACACAGACAGCTTAGCGTCAGTTGTTGAACGTGATACTCTTCATATTTCAACAAAGCGATTTGAAAACCTCAAACGTTATTCAACTTAAAAACGTACTCATCTATTGAAAAATCTTTCGATAAAAATTTTTAATTACTACCACTCTAACAAGGATTATTTTAAACACAGTCGTATTTTGATATGTTATTATACTAAAACTGGTTTTCCGAATTAAACGAAGCTGGCATGTTACAACTATAAATGACTTCTAATTGTAAATTTCCTTCTTATGTAACTGTACTTAGTTGAATACAAAGAATCAAAATAAAACTTATTCACTTGAGTAACTAAGATGTATTTCTTTAAAAAAAAATCAAATGTGAAATTCATTTTCTTCCGTTATACTCATTATTAATTGATTCGTGTATTAATCCAATGCATTAAAATATGTTTTAACTCTGATAAAGTGATAACATGAGCAATGTGAACAAAAGTTTGATTAAAGGGAATTCGAACAGTTATCTTTTTATTCTTTTGATAATCGTTGAGCAAATGCATATCCTTCAAATTATATCTCACCTTTTATGAACTAATAGTGAATTAGTTTTTTTAATATCTTTTTATTAAATCCAGTTTTCTCTAAATGGCTTTCCGAAGAATTTTGAAGTCTACTGAAAATGCAAGAACACTAAATGCTCCTTAACATGAAACTAAAACTCACTTCATGAAGCTCAGGTTTTTAGTAGATCATTTACAAAAGGTAGGATAAGGCATAATGAACTTATGCGAAACTGAAGAAGACTGTTAAGTGAAGATAAAGCGAGCCATATAAAAATTAACTCTTAAAACGAACAGCGACTTGATCAAAATCAGGGAGAATAATCCCATATGCGTGCACTTCACAGCATAAGAAACTGTAAAATATTTATATAAAACTGCTATTCCTAAAACAACCCGAACTGTCCTCTATAAACGTGCCTTAGCTTTAGCTATCCTTTAGCTTTACTTTAGCTCTGACATGCTGTAATCGAATAAACGAGCAAGTAACTAAAGGACTGGAATACATAGGATTAAGCAGATTGTTGCAATCTGAAAAATAGGAATGAAGAGACTCTTGAACTGTGTTTTACTTAGTCTTTAAATTATATTGCAATTTTTCTTTTATCTGAATTAAATCCTTCTAGAACTTCCTATCTCTGTTCTTCTTTCTTGAACATGCACAATTATCATACACGACCCATTCGAAGCACACTTAGCATGCAAACCCATTTAAGCGATTCTCTTTCACTGTTGAGAGCTGCCAAGTTTTTACTATGTGCAGGGTACTAAAGAACGATTAGTAAGTATTGGTATGCAGTGATGTACAGCCGCCAATAGGGCGATCAGACCGTCTAATCTGGGTGTGCTGTGGAAAGAGTAACTGGGTAACTCGCCTTTTTTCTTCTTACTTCTTTATGTGGATATATAAGGACAGTATAAAATCTAGCTCTCTCATAATAACTCATTACTGAACACTCTCTTTATATATGTTACGGTCAATGTGATTAATCGGTTATTATTAATAATAACCGGTGACTATTTATAATAACCAACTAAGCCGGTTAAAGTGAATACTTTATCAGACTTACTGATTAATATTAATAATTATCAGTGAAGTTTGGCTAATGTGATAACTTCCAACGCATTTGGCTAGAGATTTCCAATACTCATGCGTACAATGTCACTTGCTTGTTTACTTTGGGTGTAGACGCCCGCACTTTGCGTGCGTTGTTCATTTGTTAAGCGAATACATCGTGCTTGACGGTTTTGATCCTTTTTTATACAGTTGCCAGTTTTTGCGTAAGTTTATTTGTCAGTTTTCGGAGTGTGCGTTGCTCTTTTAACATTTTCACAAATTTTATTGCAATTTAAGCACAATGGAAGATGCTTTAGAATTCATTAAGTCACATTTTAACGATCATTTGGACATGTTCAAGTAGAGAGAAAGGATAAACCATCAGTTATTTACAAGAAAACAGTATCATTCCTTTATTGCGAAACTTAAGGAACGCAAAGAGAAGATTTGCGGCAAAAAGACTATCAACGAATATCAAGATATGATATTGTTAAAATTTGGTAGTGTTGAGAAACTCATTATTCCAGTGCAAAATGAAAAAGGTCCAACTGTTTATTATACTTGTATGGAAGAGAATTTTCAAATAATCCACAAGCCTCATATTGTAATCGGCCAAGGTGGTGGTGTATTGAGAATACGGCAAAGCACACGAGGGCTATCTGCTAAAGGAAACTGGCTCGTATACACGTTACACATCGTGGGGAAAACCACGAAAACGCCCATGCAGCCAGCCCGTTCGCGGGATTCGAACCTCGGACCGAACTACCAGTGTTCAGCGATTTTACCGCTCGGCCGCTGGTGGGCGTAATCGGCCAAGGAGGACGAAACAGAATGATGAGAGAAATTAAGGCCATAAGAATATTACAATTGAAATGGTGATGATTTATTTGAATCTTTGTGGACCTTGTCAAAAGGTACAAAGTAGTCCAAGAAAAGGCCTTGTTGTTAAATCAATTAAAAGCAGTCAATTCAATCCTAGGTGTCAAGTTGACTTCATTGATGTGCAGTCACACTTGACAATTGACAAATGAGAAGCAGGATCCGAGCACCCGGGCGGCTTACACAGATTAGTCGGGTATTGTTCAAATCCCGCAGCTGTCCAGAACAACGCCCTAAAACAGAAAGGTTGAATATTGCCATACAAGGCATACATGGGCTGGTGGCATCGTACATAAAAACTTTTTATGATACTTGCTTACATACATGATAATTGATACACGTATTAGATAAACATACTGATTCATAATAGATAAATATACATGAGCTAAACATATATGATACATAATCATACAACTGAATTGCTCGGTGGCATACTTACGATTACTGATACTGATTTATAATACAAAAACACCCGTGACTCATAATCATACTACTGAATTGTTCCGTGCCATACATACAGTTACTTTCTTACACAATTTCTGAGTTACATACAAATACTGAATTGTACAAATCAAGCCTAATAAGTTGTGTGTGTGATCTGATCACTTTGTGTGTAATTTGGACATGGCGTGTGTTAGTTCATACTGAACAAGCCATACTTTACTTACATATATGATACATATAATTGATAAACATAATAGATAAACATACTGATTCATAATACATAATAGATAAACATACTGGTTCATAATAAACATACATAATAGATGTCGTTTTCAAGTGTTTTTTGCAGCAACGTTCTATGGAAACCCAATTTCGGATCTGATTCCTTGTGAGAAAGCTAAGATCTTAGCTCAGAAGCTTATTTGTTCATCCTTTAAGCAAGTAACGTCTGGCTAAGAAATATTAAGTGCAGGCACGGTGTCCGTGAATTAGATTTAAGTGGTAAGAAGTTATCAGCAAACTCCAAAGACGCAGAAGGTTTTATGAAAAAATTTTAAATTGTAACAGACTCCTACGATTCTGAGATTTTGTACAACGTCGATAAAACCGATCTTGTTTGGAAAGTTCTGCCTAAAACAACGTTAGCATCTAAAAGGGAGAGTAGTGCACCCCGATACAAAGTTAGTAAAGGCCATGTTACGGTGCTTACCTAAGCAAGCCCTACGGAAGCCATTAAATACACCTTCTGTTGATAGGGAAGTAAAAGATGCCAAGAGCATTTAAAAATGTGAAAAAGCTTCCTCTCTTTTATAGAAACGAATCTAAGGTTGGGATGACTGCAGCATTGTTTAGCAGAACCCATTTCCGAGTGGTACGACGAAAATTTCATCCCTCAGGAATGAGCAGTTTACAACAATCTTTTTACCGCCAAACGTCACAATCTTGTTGCAACCAATGGACCAGTCTGCTACCGAAACCATGAAACGCCATTACAGAAGACAAATTTAAGGAAACTTTTGCTAGATAGTGAAGACGAAGAAGGTATATTCGCTAACCAAAAAAAAAAAAAAAAAAAAAAAAAAAAAAAAAAAAAAAAAAAAAAATTTGAAAGACTGCGCTTACATGGTGGCTGAAGCTTGAGCTCCAGAAAGTCTAAGTAAAAAGGCCACCAAAAAATTCAAGTAATAGATGCACAACAGGTTTATTTTAAAAGCGACAATATCCGCTAGTTAACAGTTCAACTAGTTAATTTTTCATTGACTTAAAGTGCCACATGTTAAGTATAAAAAATGAAGTTCCTTCCCCGTTGTTTCATGTGCATTGTTTAATTCTATCCCGTTGTTTTATTTATGGTCACCTAGCTCACATTGCGCTATATTAATGGACCAAGTACTCTATAATAGAGCTTATCATTGATCCTCTTACGTCAGGTTACAAATTTATTTCTTTTTACAATGGCATTCACGATAAACAAGCCATTAGAGCATTTAATTAAAGTAAAGTAAGCGTAGTTTTGAATATCTTTGTGTCAATTTTCCGGATGCTTTCAAACATGAGATATCTTACAGACAAATGTAACTTAATAATTCTTAAGTTTTTCTTTTATCCACTCTTGTTAACTTTGCGTTCCTCCTTTTTTTTTTTTTTTTTTTTTTTTTTTTTTTTTTTTTTTTCCCCGCAGACATGGATCATCCGCAGCAAGTAATGAAAAAATGGAATTTAATTCGCAATACGTGCTTGAGCAGAAAAAGAAATACCAAAGACAACTTCGATTATTAAACAGAAGCGTTTTTGTAAAGGATTCTGCAGAAAGTAAGATAGCTTGTTTTTATGAACTAACAAATTCAAAAGAAATAAATATACCGCTCACAGCAATACATAATTTAATAACTTATAGTATAATATTATACTCCTGTGTTTCGATGAACTTGTTATCAAATTTCCATTAACGCAGTTACTGTAGTACATTTATCTACATTAATTGATTCGTGAATTAAATTTATGAAAGTTTAAGAAATTTGTGTTAGGCGATCTTCTCTTAATGGAATTCCCAAAATGAAATCAAATTATTTTGATGATCTTCTGTAATAATAAATTATTTGGTGAATTGTTGTAAGTTATTATAGCTGACTGTTTAGTGTATTAGGCTGTTACAGTTAAAATGGTTGATTTCATTGGTGTCAAGAAAGCAAGCTTACAAAAAAAGAAGATGCACATGATTTGAATCAATACGTTTTCTCCAACCTATGTGAAAATCATTTATGCCAAAAAAGCTGTAAAATGTTTAATCTTTTATTGAAGAACGGATATCAAAGTTCTTCTCAGACAAAAAAAAAAAAAAAAATGGTCCAAATGTTAAAAAAAAAAAAAAAAAAAAAAGTGATAATCTTTAGCCAAAAAATCTGAAAAAATTAAAGCAGAACCTTCTATTCCAAATCATTGATTTTCTGGAGGCTTTCGTATGACTCGTAAAACATTAAAGATATTCATTACGTACGAAACATTCAACATTTCAAGTCGTGAGACATACATTTTGAAGTAGCAGAACAGTATATTTGTTCATTAACGTGGTTACCTTTGTGCTCACATTTTCGCCGCATCATTCCTCTTTCGTAATGTGACCACGGTTGACGGGACGATACCAGCAGACATTGATTAAGCAGGAATCACCACATTCTTTGAAAGAAAATCTAACTAAATTCTTTTACATTGTACATTAATCTGTGTCAAGCTATTGGCCACTAAAGCCTGCGATTTTGCTGAAAAATCTGTTTCTTATCAATAATTATAATATATTGCAAGTTTTTCTCTGTTTCGAGGAGAACATAATATTTTTAAGCAAAGTAGAGTTTGATTTCTTCACCTAGCATACACGCCTTTCCCGACCAAGCATTTTCTTGCTCTATCAATACTTTTAAGAGTGTCAGCATATAGTTGAATAGCAGAATTTCAGCTTCTTCGTAGACTCTCATACAATTTGTACAACCGTTAGTGAATAAGACCTATAGACAGGGAATGGGACTATTCGCCGTCAAGACATATTTTTCCTTACACGACTGTATTATATCTTGTAATATTATATTAAGTTGATTTAAATTAATAACTCTGTTTAGTTAAATAATTTCATTTAATTTAATAAACATTTTTATATAAAATGATTTTGTGTACAGTTTTATACAAATACACCATTACACATGACATATTAATTTTAAGAAAGTCATGTGCTGACAAGATTCCAAAGTAATTCCGTTTTCCATTCACATTTTATAAAAATGTGAATTTCCTGCTTGTATGTGTGATTTCTCTGAACTAGCCGATTAAAATTTCAAGAAATTTTGGCGAATTGTGTAAATATTGTACCCGCATAATTTTAAAATCGATAGTATAACTTCTGATGTAACAGAAGTTTAGTCCCAGTTCTCTTTGATACTGACATAATTTTCCAACTAACTGTATGTTTTTCTTTATATCTCATACTTGTAAATAACTATATATATTACAAGCAACCTTTATTAAGTATACAAAAGGTAAACAGAATTATTAATCTAAATGAAGTTAATACGAATGTAATACAGTCATATAAAGAAAAATAAGTCTTGACGGCGAAACATCCCGACGGCGAAACGGCTACGGTGAAATCGCGAAGGCAAAAAGTCTTAGACCCCTATAGACACTGGTAGTTCGACTCGAATTGAACTCCCGAGTAATGGGCTGGCTGAATGCGGCTTTCGAGATTCTTTTCACGTCGGACTTGAATAGAATAAACGTCTCTTAGAAATCCTCCATGAAGGTATGTCTGCACTTTGACAGGAACTCCAAACATGCTTTGTCATGATCAGTTAACTATCCATGCATCCAACTGAATAAGACGCCTTAGTTCAAAAAGTTTAATTCGTTTCATTTTTCGACTTAGTCAGGAGATTAGTATCATCGGAACGGAATTTGATAAGCCAGCAGCATATACAGTTAGTCAATAAAGTCTGCGTACATCAAGAAAAGTAATATCAAATCCAAATTTTAAGGTGCGAAAAGGGTAGTTTCTTAAAGTTTTATTTTTTAAATATTTAGTTTCAATAAGGGACTTTGAAATTATTTAAGTGTAATATTTTTATATCTAATAATTTATGCACACTAATTTTTAAAAGATAAGTGGCCAGAAATCAAAGCCAATAAAGTTTGCGTACAACGCGAAGGAGGCGGGGGATTTCTTATCTAACTTTTAAACTTCAAATTTGAGAATGCAAAGAAGGTTACACTTTTAAGGTCATTGACTTCCGAAGCAAATTTCACGTTGATTGGAAGTTGCTATTTCTATTTTCTTTGACGAAAATGACAACCAATAAAGAAATTCCTTTAGTTACAAGACAACTAATTATCAAATTGAGAGATGAAGGTAAAACTCTTCGTTATATTGGTAAAACCATTGGAAAATCATTTTCTAGTGTGCAAAGAGTTATTCAAAACTATCTTGACACTGGTAGTCTTGCTGTAAAACCAAGATGTGGGAGACCGAAGAAGCTAACGCAGAGAGAAGAAAGAAAAATTCTTTTACGAATTAAACAAAATCCTAAACTTTCTGCTGCAAGAATTTCAAAAGACATTTTTTTAATTAGCAACAAGGAAATTTCTCCTGAAACTGTACGAAAAGTGCTGCGAAAAGTGTATGAAAAGTCCGATTATCATGAACGCAAACCTAGGTCTAAGCCGTACATTTCCGAGACAAATAGAAAGAAAAGAATTGCTTTTGCCAAAACATATTTAAAATCTTCGCAGGACTTCTGGAACAATGTAATTTGGTCAGATGAAAGTAAATTTACAATATTTAAAGTTAATGGCCACCCTATTGTATATAGAAAACCAGGAACAGAACTGAATCTGAGAAATTTAAATCCAACTGTCAAACATGGATTTGGCGGTGTGATGGTATGGGGGTGTATGTCGTCGAAAGGAGTTCGAAATTTTCACATTATTGATAAAGTCATGGATAAGTATGTTTATCTGGATATTCTGAAGAAAAATCTACGAGACAGTGCCCGAAATTTAAACCTTTCTAATACCTTTATTTTCCAACAAGACAACGACCCGAAACATACAGCTAAAATTGTGAAGGAATATCTCCTTTATCACACTCCAAGACAGTTGCGTACTCCTCCACAGTCACCAGACCTCAATGCAATCGAACATTTGTGGGCAAAATTGGAGAAACGAATTCGAAAACACAATATTACGTCGCGAAATAAGCTAATTAGTTAACTGTAGGAAGAATGGGCGAAATTTACGTCGGATGACACTGAAAAACTAGTTCAGTCAATGCCCAGACGTCTGCAAGCTGTTTTAAAGAATAAAGGATATCCTACAAAGTATTGAAGTAATGTAAAAAACTTATATTTTGCCTTTTTTTTTTTTTTTTTTTTGAAAGTGTACGCAGACTTATTGGAGGGAATTTCTGAGTTTTTTTGACAAAATATATTTTTGAAAATGTAAAATGTATTACACTGATATTATTTACTTTTTATTTAAGCTTACAATTTTAGCTAATAGAAGAAAAAAAATGCAATGATTAAAATACATTTTTCTATGCTTTAAGTGTTTTTTTAATTTAAAATTTAGTCTACGCAGACTTTTGTGACTAACTGTATGTCCACTCCTTAATTTCTCTCTCATAAAATGCTGTATTTATTATTATAGGCAGCCTCAGATCGCGAATATTAAAAATTAAATTACTATACCCACCGTTTTATGAAATCTCAGCATCATGAAGAAATCGTGAAAATAAACAAACTTAAAACAAAGCAGGGCATGATATGCGAAAGATTAAAATTTCAGAGTGATAGTCATTACTGATGTCACACACCTTGTCCTCATGACAGTGACGGACCATACAGATTCATCTCGTTAGTTGGCACAACGTTATAGCACTCTACAACTATGGCACTGTCAGCTTCAAAAGTTTGCCAGCGTCGGCTGCGCTTTGGATTATGTGCATATATTTCTTAAAGAAAACTATCAACAACTGTGGTTACAATGGGTTCATTAACAAAGGCACTGCCTTGCTGACTGGCAAATGATACTCTTGTACGATGAATCCCGCTTCAATATGGAATACAAACATGGTCGTTAAATGCTAGAGGGGTGATCTCCAGCTTCTGGAATGCAACATCGTACTGAATGATTTCCAAGCATATAGAACTCGGGCATCATTGGGTGTGATGGATGATCTGGTCTATAAAGAAAGGAGAATTCTCTCACCAACCCCCACTAGTTCGGGGGAAGTCCTACCCTTCAATCTATGTATTCCTTCAGGTGTATTTCAACAGACCCATACACATGTTGTTAGAAATGTTTGATTTTTCTCAGTACGTCAGATACCATCTCTTCTTCTGCCCGCCCGTTTATCACACATGTCGCCTATCATCTTGGATTTTATAATCCGGCAGTTCGCTCCTGACACTCGTCCCACAGCTCATACAGACCTTTAGGCTTTGACGGATGCAAAGTTTAATGCTTATCTCTCAAGTACATATTAAAAGTCTATTTGATTCAATGCCATGACGCATAACAGCTCTTATTTCGGTACTTACGTATTAACGCAACCAGGCCAAAATTCGCATAAATCGCCAAATTTGGCGACCCTACTTACGGCAACCCTACGTGTTATACGTAGTTTTGTAAAAAGAATTTATTTGTAAAAAGAAAAAATAACACTTGGCGTGTACTACCACAGCAATGGGTTTTCAGTGGAATTTGCCGAGAAAAGAAAGAGACTTTTTTTGGTTACTGTACCTAACAGAAGCGCCGTTACCCTCATGGAAAAAATTTGCGAAAATATCAAGGAAGGAAGCATCATTTATTCGGATTGGTGGAAAGGATACAATACAAGTGAGATCGAAAATGCTGGATTTCTGCATGGAACTGTTAATCACAAATATAACTTTGTGGATCCCAACACGGGCGTTCACATACAACATGTAGAGCGCATGTGGGGCTCAGCCAAATGGCGCAACAAAAAACAGAGAGGAACAGCCCGTCATCATGTTCACTCATACCTTATCGAATTTATATGGCGCCAAGCTCAAGCTGTTAATGGTGAAGACGGTTTTCAATCAGTGCTAAAAGCAATAGCCAAAAGATTTCCGCCGAAAAAATAATTCTGCAACTTATTCAAATTCGAAACCGGAAGGGTTTAATTGCTATTTTATATTTTAAAACAAAAAATATATAAAAAAACTGTATTAAAAATTATCTGTAATTAATAAATGTACATTTTCTTTCTATTCATACTTTTTTACTCAAACTCACAAATCGCGCCAACCTGGTTGCGATAATACGTAAGTACCCTTATTTCAGAACACGATAGCTTCACTAAATACTGATTTTTGGCATTTAATATTTTTGTATTCCCAGAGAATTCAATCGTTTCTTAGGACATCTGTGAAATAAATTTCATAAATTTCCTTTAATTCTGATAATTCCTCCATGGTGTTGCTCTTTTCATAAACGTGAGTGTACACAAATTACATGCATTTGAATTGGTTCTGTAATTCACTTTCTCTTTAATATGTTCAGTACTGTACCAGTAAACAGATAACAACAAAAAATTCCTTGTTTTCAGTCTTCCTGCGGGACGTGGAAAATTCGCATATACTTAAAGATGCACCTCTTACCCAACGGCATGGTGCGACAGGACCATGCAATCGGCCATTTTACCTGTAACAACCTCGTGCTTGACGAAATCCTATCAATTACAACAGCTTTATAGTTTAAAGTAACGCTAGCCTGCATGGTCATCTTTATGCATTACATCCATTAATTTGCTTTATAAGATGTCAATAAACATTATCACTTGAAAGTATCTGCATAAAAATTTAAAATACATTCAATTGAATATAGATTTCAAATCATTAACATATTCTGATTTTTCATTCATTTGACTTTCTATACAGGACACGACTATCAAGGAAGAGAAAACCCTCATTCAACCATTCTTCTTGGAGGATGTGATCGACTAAGAAAAAGAAAATGTTTTGCAGACAAAGAGCTTGATGCGTTACTAACACCACCTTCCTATCATCGAAGAATATTTCCAGCCTATTTAGAACCAATAAATTTAGCAACTATGTCATACCTCCCATCTAATTTAATGAAAAAACAATCAATTGACTACTTTCTAACGAAACAGAATAATAGCAAAGGAAGTGCTGAAATCTTTTTCAGACACCTTACGCCAACATTTTTTTGTAAAGGGACTGCATTCTCCTCTCAGCTGAAAGAAGCAAGCGATAACTCTGTTGAAGCTGAGCAGAAGAGTACTTTTAGCAAAAGGAAGGCTTTATCATTTTCGGTTGAGGCTCTTATCGGAAAAAAATAGTAATGAGATACTCAAAAAGAACTCATTGCATTGTGTTCTAGCGATAACAGAAATATATATTTTATTAGGGACATTTGACTTGCTTCATTTATAATTGTGATAAAAAATTTTCTCGACCAAAAAAAAAAAATGATTATACAACATTATTCTTATGACAGTGTTGGCAAATAGTTAGTTCCTTTAACGAATGCAAAAGAAATAGAAACTCTTTGGGTACAACAAGTTTTTAGCAATAAATGATTTTAAAATGGGAATAACATTTGTTGGTTAGTCTCTTCTGGAGTCATGATAAACCACTGCTTCCAATCAGAAACTGAGTCTCTTCTAGAGTTATGACACACAATTCCTTTCCATTAAGAAACTGCTTTTGACAAGCAATAAAATTGCTAACGTAAGTAAAAGCACTTATTCGAAATAAAGAATAAAAAAAAATCAAAGTAATTTGGAAATTAAAACACTACGTAATAAATGTAGAAACGATCTTGCTTTCTTTATCGACACAAAAATTTTTCATATAGCTTCATATTTTAACCAGCACAAATGCCTTCAGGATTATAATTATGATACAAGCCTTGAATGGCTGTTTTGTTGATTGTGATATACAAAAAAAAAAAAAAAAAAAAAAAAAGGATAACACTTGAAGAAACAAGAACTCTTAAGAATTCAAAGAGTTCATCAGCATTTTCCTCAGTGTCCATATCCCTAGGAGCCTAAACGCTGTTTTAATACAATCAATTTTCGGTTAAATGTTTTGGAACAATAACAGTCATCACTTCCAACTTATCTAACATATTTTTAAGAGTTCAGTGAAATAAAATATATTATGCTCTTATAAGAACAATTCACGGAATACTAAACAACAGACATGGCCAACCTGCGGCTCTTTGACCCCTGTAGTACAAGTCATCTACAATCAATAGAAGTCAGTCTAAGACCACGAAATTCCTCGTGGCAAGGAGCACTAGAATCCGCATGCTGTCGGCAACAGCCTTGAGCACCATTCAGGTGAGAGTGCGATTTAGCTCGGTTCCGCCACGGCCAACTGGATATAACATGGCCTGGTTAGCTACATGGACCTTTCTTATAAGGTCCATGGTTAGCTACGAGTGACGTCACGGAAGGCATCTGAATCTTCCGCGACTTTGCTTCGGCTTTGAAATATGCGCGTTTCGTTAAATGTTTAGATTCTTTTGCTTTAAATAATGCATAGTAATTAAATTTTCAGAGATTTACGGATAAACGCATATAAAAGGTCGTTTATACATTTATAGTTAAGATTGATAGCTTTAGAGGTATTATTTAAAAAAATATTCATGAAATTTCTAGCCAATGTGTTACGATATTTTGTACAATTATTTTTATACTGCATAGTAATGACATTTTAAGATTTGCTGAAAAACAAAGTTTTAAAATAAATAAAGATTGCTATTTATTAACATAAATTAATCTTTACAGTTTGATTGTTCTTACTTCCACTAAATACTAAAATAAAATTCTTTAATAAATACTCTGAAAAAATATATTTACAAAATTTACTGTTGATTTCACTGATCCTCAAATTTTGCAGGTTTATTTTCGCAGATGAAGGAAAATTGAAGGAAAATGAAAGGATTCCAAAGTATAAATAATTAATCGACAAAATATAAATCCTATTTAACCAATTAAAAGACATAAAAACGATTTTTTATTACCTTATCTCAATATAATTAATTATTTATTAATAATTACTGCTGTTTTTAATTTTAAGAATAACTTGAATGAACGATCAGTAATATATCCAATGATTTACTGCAGAGCTTGCAAAAAGTATGCACATGTATTTATTCCTTTCAGTAATTATCTAACAAAAAGAAATGGAGATAAAAAGTTGCAGAAAAATTCAAATTTCCTTAAATTCTCTTGTGATTTGCCAACATAAATTAAATAAAGCGTAATTTTGTGTTGCATTACAGCAAGCGAATTATTACTAATGTAATGATATCTTTATAATCTGATAATAAAGAAGAAATCATAACAGACTGAACAGATGATGCTTCAATACTTTCAAGATTCTTAGGAAAGTCGATTATTATTTTTTTTTTTTTTACCTTTCTATGTTACCTTTTTTCACTCGAACCTCATCAGTATATAAATTCACGAATTGCTAATGCCCCAGTAAATTTTTAACTTTACCTTTTACATACTTGTAATTAGGTTCATTGTTCGTAGATACATCAAGTTTAACAGGCCTAAACAGGATTGTTCAGAAATGGTCAATGTATCAAAAGCAGATTAGTTGACTGTCATAGAGGCAACTATAACAAACAGCTTACTTTAATGTATAACGATTTGATTTGACTTGATTTAGTTTATTATAGCAAAACACACTAGGGTATTTGCCTGAGGTATGCCTTCATGGAAGACTATCTAAGGCAAGCTGGCTCATATGCACGTTATACAGGGTGAAAATCACGAAAATGCCCTTGCAGCCAGCTCCTTCGCCCGGATTCGAACCCAGGTCGGAACTACCAGTGTTCAGCGATTTTACCGCTCTGTGGCTGGTGGGTGTTGGTGTTGGTGTTGGTGTATTTAATTACGGCAAAGCACACTAGGGCTATCTGCCTCTGTGGCTGGTGGGATAATGTATAACGAATAAGCAAAGACTAGTACCTTCTAGCCATTTTACTTTTATTACACATCTTAATTTGTTCCAAAAATAAAATGTTTTATTCTTCAAGTAAGATTCTCAAATAATTTTTATTCAACGTATGCTTCCTAGTTATATAGTGGTAAGTAATAGTTCGATTTTAATGTTTTTAATTACTATGCTTTTGACATAAATGTTTTTAAATTCAGTCCATAAAGTAAGTTTAGTATTTCCATTTAATATATTTTTACATACTCCCATTTCAACAGCTTCTTGTCCAAGAAGACACTGCAGTATTCATATGAAGTGATAGTTAGATACATTTCCCAACTTTAGGCTGTAGATTAAAACTGAGCAATAAAATATAATTTCCATCAGCAGATTTTATGTCAAATTAAATCTGAATCATCTGAAATGTTTAGCTTATTCCATAATGAAGAAGAAAAATCCTCAAAAGATGCAATTTTGTCCTTTTTCAAAAATTGCTTAAAAATATGTTTATCCGTATTGGCTTTTTTTTCCCTCCGTGCTCATCCTCGGAGATGTCGGATTTTCAGGTAAGTATTTTGGACAATAAAAAAAAATGCATGCATAAGCATCGTTTATAATTTAGGGTGTACTTAACAAAGTTAAACAACAATGCCTTCACTTTTGCTAAATAATCGTACCGAATGATATCATACCTAAACCGACCTATAACCTACTTAACTCAAATTTAGTAATAAAAAATACATGAATAATGAACAAACACAGTGCAACGTTAAGTAACAGCACACAAACTAACATAGGAATTCTTCGCTTACAGTGTCCACAGAGAAGCACGAAGGGGGAAAGTTCAGACACCTTTCGTGACGTCAAATCACGTAACTTTGAAGCTGACCAGGCCATCTATTCACGAAGGTCACGGTTCCGCCCCCAGTTTTGATGGAGAGCACCCCGGGGAGACGGGTCCGAGGGTCTCCCACTCCTCTCCCCTTCCACCAAACCCATGGAGGTAGGAAGTAAGATGGAGTAGCCCTAAACAGGTTTCTCCCGTACCCTGCTCTGAAGTACCGGCGATCCCTACGTGGTGACCAAAACATTGGGTCATTTACATTAAGTTCAATGGGTTTTGACGCGATCGGATGTAAATATTTTGTAATTACGTCATAAATATACATATAAATGTATATACTTTCTTTTTCTACAACACTTCAGAGTCCTAAGTATATGAAAACAACATATTTTTAAAACATTTCATTCTGAATGGAATTAAATGCTATACTTTTCGCAGAACAGTTTTCTCAGAAGGTTTAATTTGAATGAATTATTTTCACAAGTTTTCGTTAATTACATTAGAAAAAAAATTTCAGGTAATTCGATTTTATTCGGTTAAGGTACAAAAATTAATATCAAAGTTTATTGTATTATTAATATTAAAATTATGCATTATTTCTTTTCTATTTATAGAGCTTCTTCCTAAAATACTTTCTTAAATATGACATGATTTTTTGGCTTCTGAGGCATCTTTTAAATCAAAAAATATAAGTCAATTTATAATTAATGCTCTATTCGGTTCATTTTAAATTAGAGAATTATTAGAAATTAGCGAAATACTTTAAATAGTACTTAACTTTCTCTGAACATTTCTGAAAGGGAATAAAATAAGGATTTTTTTAAAGTATTATTTAAAACTTGTAACTGAGTTATAAAATGTAAGGGGAATAATTCTTTTAATTATACTTATCAGATTCTTTTTACCATTAATTTCAACAATACATATTCCAAAACTCTTTATTACTTTCTTAAGTGCGCATCTCATAGCATTTGCTTTACAATGCCTTTTAACAGATTGCTTTCCAGTACGAACAATTCTTGTTTAAATAGTTTTATAACGTATTTATCAACAGGATTTCAATTTATGTTTACAATTCAACATTATGGTTATTATATGTTTAGATAACATTTATAATCATTATAAATTAGATACATTTAATAATTATATTTCTTCACAGTTGTTTATAAATAAATAAATTCTTCATTTCAAATACATTTATAAATAACTGAATGAATATTTATGTATTTTGCTAAAGGCAGATACATGCTTTTTGCAAGCACATGCATAAATACCCACACATATATCATATTTCTTATTTCCGGCATGTGCAAATCTTTAATTTCTGTGCATTCACTATATTTTATTTTTAATTAACCCAAATAAGTAAAACGTGTAAGCCCAAAGGGATTATTTTTCAGATATATAAAATTAAAATGATGAGTTTAAAATGAGCAACAGTAAAGTCTCTCCTCTAAAAAATTTTAAAAGGTACATGTTACAATAATATATGGATGTAAAAAAAAAAAATTATTTTATTTAAAACATTTTGGCGTTTGGAACATAAAATAAAAGTAGCGAATACTCTATCATGGGTATCGAAAGATGTATACAATTTTAAAGGGACCGTAAGGTACTTTTCATTCTTTAAGCATAACATTTTTGTTAAAATTTATATTATTGCTTAGAATTTTATAAAACAAATTCATAATCAAAATCGCTGTTGTTAGTTATCGAAAAATGACCAAGATGTGATTTTTGCGTAAATGTCGCTAAACTATACAAATTGCTATTATCCATCATACTAGGAATGTTTCTTTTATGCGGAAGTGTCCCGTTTTCCGATTTGTATGGGACTGCCGTGTGTCGAAATACTATCAGAACACTGTCAAGCGAGCTTCTGAATGTAAACAAAGAACACCCCATCTGGTGGCCGAAGCTTCGAAGCAGTGCTTCACTTCTAGTGCCGGATGGCCACTCCTTCCTTTCTTACCTCTATGCACCATGACTTTAGGCTCGTTGGATATTTAGAGTGCCGCTATGCCGCACCGATACTATACATTTACAAACATCCATGCCTTCTCCGGGATTCGTACCCATGCCCTTCGGCACGGCAGTCAGCCATGCTAACCACTATACCGGTAGGGCGCCGAAGTGGTATTTTTGAAATACAGTTACAATTTGAAAT